TACAGCGCAGAGGTTGCCATGGCTCTGCCCGCCGAGCTGTGCGACGTCCTCGCGGACGTGGGCGTCGCCGAGAATGCGACCAAATTCTTCGTGGGCAAGCGCGTCGTCAAGCTGGGCGCTTTCGCCGAATTGGTGGATTCAAAATCCAGCGTCGCAGATGTATTCGGGCCGCCCGCAGGGCTGGCCCCGGGCGACAGCGTCGCGCGCCGGCCTTCAGAACTCGGTGCGGCGGCGAGCAGAGGTCGAGGCGAGAGCCGAGCTAGAGGCGCCAGCCCCGGGCGACAGCGCGGAGTGGAGTATTTCCCTGGGCGCAGAGCGGCGCGAGCGCCTGGGCGCGCGGGTCAAGGGGCACCTGCCCGCCCGCGTGGCTTGTCCAGTGGTTCCCAGCCCACGGGCTCGCGGGCAAGCTGAAGCGAATGTGCGGGAAGCGCGCGGACTTCTTTCCCCCCGTCGAGGTGGGTGTCGAGGGCGCCTTCGAGAAGGAGGTCGGCCCGCGGTTCAAGCTGTTCTTCTCCAAGCAGGGCGGGGCGCGACGGTCGCCTGCAACCGGGCGGCCGCCCTGGATTTCGAGGGCGCCTCGCTCGCCGCCCCCGCGAGTGCCGCCAGTGTTTCGTGGGGGGGATCACGGGCGTCAGCTGGTCGCCGGAGATCGCGCGCGATTTCCCGAAGGCGGACAGCCGCGTGCGCGCCGAGTGGGCGCTGAGCAGGCGGCGAGGGGAATTCGCGAATTTCGTGGAGGTCACCGCCCGCCGCCGCGGTCAAAGCGCCCGCCCGTTCTTGCGCGCTGGAGACAGGAAGCAGGCCGGGAGTCGCAACCGCGGGGGCAGTTTCGCGTCCGCGGCCAGGGCGCTCTGACCCCCTCGGCGAGCCGGCGCGCGAGGCGCCGAGGCCAGGTGGCGATGCCAGGGCAGGCGGGCTTTCCGCCCTTGGCTTAAGCAGGACTGGCTTGGGCTGGGCCGCATAAGCGCGCAGGCGAGGTCGCGCCAGTGCTGTTTCCAGATAGAGGCCGCGGGCTGCCGGAAGTCTGCGGGCGAACGCCGCGACCTGCGCGAGTGCGACTACGGGTGCGGGGCTCGGCGCTGCAGGGCCAAGCAGAGCTGGGGCCCGGATGGGCGGTCCAGACTGGCCCAGCTCAATCGCGGGGTCAAATGGCGGCCTCGGTTGCCGCCGAGTCCAGGGACATTCCGCGCTGGGGCCCGCCTGCAGGGCAGGGGGTGGTCAGCGAGGGCCCGCGGGCGGGCGGCGTCGAGTGGCCGGGCGGGCGCCGCCCGAGGGTCCGCGTCGGGCGCGCATTGGCGCTTGGCGAAGCGCCGCTGGGCAAGCGCTTCGAGTCGTGAGTCCAGTGAGGATGTCGGCCCGAGGCGTTCTTCGAGCAGGTGCCCCGTCTGCGGCGACTGGCTCTTGCGCCTCTGTCAATGCCCGGCGCGTGGGTCCAGGCCGCTGGTAGCGTGCTCGACAATCCCGAATATTTGCGCAGCTGGCGTGCGGCGCAGATGCAGCCCATGCGCGACGCTGCTCAGCGTCTCCAGAGGTTTGGCAGCAATGCGCCGACAAGCTACACTGCGACGTCCACCCGAGTGATCGGCCGCCTGCATTTACTTCTCCTGGAGTGGATGGCACAGCGCGTCACCCACGCTAGCAGCGCAGATGACGTCGCCCGGTTGACGCGCGGGAAGCCATGCTTGAGAGATATCCCGCCCAGCGGGGCTTTCAGTGATGGACGCGGCGCGGAGGCGAGGGCGATCGAGGAGTGGGTCGCGCGCCCGCGAGACCAGAGCGAGCGCGCGATTCGGGGCGCGCGCAGATCGGGGGGCAGCTCCCTCGACGAGAAAGCGCGGATAAGACCTAGGCAGAGATGTCGATGGGGTTCTGCGATGGGCCCAGCGAGCTCGCGGGGCCCGACCTCGGCGGCGCATGCGCGACCCCCCCGATGGCCCGAGCGGGGGCTCAAGGAGGGCGGCGCGTGGAAGCGTCGGGGGAAGCGGCGCTGTCGCGCCGGCCGAGAAGTGTTCGCGAGAGGATTTGTCATCGGCGCATGCCGTGGTGCGTATCCCGAGAGAAGCCCTCCCAGGCAGTGCGCCTTCAAGGCGTCCGCGTCGACTGGGGGATGGCTTTCTGGCGGGGCCCCCCGTGGCCGAATCGCGCCCCGCGCCATTGCGAATCTGCGCGGGCCCCCCCGTGAGCGGGCCCAGTGGCTGAGGCCGCTGGGAGGGGCCTTTGGCGACGAGGCTGCTCGGGCGAATTCCGTGGAACATTTTTGTTTCGCATGCTATTTCGCAGGAGTATGCCTGGCCATCTCCCCCTGCCAGTGCTCCGATGACGCGCGGGGCATCCGGCCATGATGGTCCGTGAGGCGCGCTCGTGGTCTTGTCTTGAAGATAGTGGGCTTCGTTGGCTCGAGGTGCGACGGGGGCGAGATCGAACCGCCCAGCGGGCGCCTCCGCCCGTTTGGCGCGGGGAACCGAGTGGGCCTGGAGGCGATGGCGTGGTTCTGCGAGGCCGCAGTGGACAAACTGCTGTCCTTGATCCGCCCCCGCCAGGCATCGGGGGCGCGGCAGCAGCAGGCGCCTCGACGCTGCGCGGCTCGTTCAACCGGGTGCGCTCGAGCCTTCGGGGCCGGCGTGGAGCAGCTGCGCTGGCGCGTTTGCGGACTCGCCAGAACAGCGGCAAGTCGCGTTGTTCGGGTTCAACAGCGTCACGCCTGCCATGTTCAGGTGGCTCGAAGCGCTTGCCCATGGAAGCTGGCGTCGTGTTCAGTGCGACATATCTTGCTTATCCTTGGTTGTCACCATCAGCCGCGGGGAAAGCGCGGGCAACGTCGTCGCGGCAGTGTGGCGTCCATCAGAGCTTGCCGCGCGCCCCCGTATCAGCTCGACGAGGGCCCCGGGGGTCATGCATGCGAAATGGGTGCAGCATGCCTTCCAGGTCATAGCTCCAATCGAAGGGGTCGGGCCACTGCTGGCCTTCGCCGCGCGGCCGAGCCTGGAACGCCGACTTTCGATCCATTTAATAGATGACACAGACGCCATGCACGCGCCGATCAGAGGCAACAGCGTGAACGCATATTTGAACACTGCGTCCGCGCAAGTGGGCGAGGCCAGCCGTGGGTGTAAGGGCGACCTCATGCCAACAAGGCTGGGTCGCGGATCCGCCGGGCTATCTGTCAAGGTTTTGATGGGCCGCCGCCGGGCTTGCACGTCGTCCCTAGCTGGGGCGCACGCGTATCAACAACGCCGTTCTGTCCTGTATCAACAAAAGAATCGGGCCAGATCGTCCCGAAGATGTTTGCGTGCAGGAGCGTAAGAACCGTGTGAGGTCAGTGTGCGCAGGCCTTCCTCGCAATATTCATATACGCAAGAACAACAGTCCATCCATATCTGATGTCGGCGGCGTGCCTGAGAGGGAAATGAAAAGGAGCAGGCCTTCTCAGAAGGCGGCGGGGCTCCCTGGAAACCTTCGCGCCCTGTGAGAAACTTTCGTCGTCCCCGGAGAGGGCCGCGACGCCCTTTCCGAAGGCCCGAGGCCTCCCGGGCCTTCTGAAAAGGCCCGCCCCCTCTGATTTCCCCCCCAGGGTTCGGCGCCAATGGTGCGCGCTGGTATATGTGCGCCGCTCACGTGTCCCAAAACCGTCTGGCGACAGACTGCGCCGCGACGCCGAAACCCCGCTGCGCTTCGCCAGACGGTCCGCCCCTGGGCGGCCTCGGGGCCTCTCCGAGGCCCCAGGCGCTCGAGACATCCTCGCGGAACGGTTCGCCCCCCAGAGCGGTCCGCTCACCCTGGAACGCTCTCTGCCCACGGGGTGCCGGGATCATTGGGCCATGGTGGGGCCGCCGGGTCAGAAAACCATGCGCCCGTTGGCGCGTGGGCGGAACGGCGCGTTGCACTGTGCAGCGACGTAGAAAAAGCGGGACGCCCGATTGTGAAGCAGAAGAAGCAGTGCGGAATACGATTGCGAAACAGAAAATGCACGACCCAAGGGGTGTCACGGCGGCGCGGGTCGTCAGGCGTCACATGGCGTCAGGCGTCAGCTGTTTGCGGCCGCCAGGCCTTCTGACCCACCGGGCCTTCCCTCACCCGACGCTTTCTTTGCCAAGAAGGAACAGAGACATTGACTCAAGGGGGCGGAGAACGGGGGCGGAGAGGTGATGTGCCAACACGTGTGTCCCACATTTTTTTTGTATGGGAGTAAACTGTGATATATGACATGCAACACAACTTTATTGAGTTATCCGACTTTAGATAGGTGCTGTTTCGGATGTCCGCCTTCGATTTATCCTTGGTGGTGAATTTCATAAGAGCTGTGCCCTTTGCCGCTGCCCCCCTGCATGTGGCCCTGCCTTGGTCTACCGCGAAGCTTCTCGGTGCCATGTTGGGGGCCTTCTTGAGCTATCATTTGCTTTCTTGCGGCGTTGGATGACCAGTCTTAGGCTGTACCCCGCGATCCTGAGGTCACCCTGGGGACTGGGGGAGCTGCTGGGTCTTCTTGGGCGACCCCGGGGACATCCTAGGGTATCGGGGGGGACCTTGGTGTCATCTTGGGTAATCATGGAACGACTTTGTGGCCTCTAGATGGCCGTCATCAGGCTTCGAGACCTGGGGAGGATGGGCAGGGCGCGGCAGAGGGAAATGGGGGAGGATAAGGAGCATGAGGAAGAGGCGGAGGAGGAGGATGAGGGCCAAGTCATTGTGAGCTTCCTTTTTCGTTTCGGTTCTCCGCTTTCAGATCGCCGCAGCTCGCCTTCTTCTGAGCCTTGGAGGCGCGAGTCGAAGCGAGACGAGGAGGACAGGGCTGTCCACAATTCGGTGGATGTGTTAATGTGTCCCGATGTTTGCGCGAGGCATCGATCCATTCGATTACGCACCCCCGTAGGCGGCTCCCTCCCACGGAGGGGGCTCGATCCGGTCAATTCGATTATGCGAGCGTTTTGATTGATTTGCGTTCATGGTCGGTCTTTGGACAGCCATCGAGGGGGGCCAGGAGATTTTTGCTTGCCCTGCAGGTGCGCCGCTCGGGCGCGCGCTCCGCGCGGGGCTCTCGTCGCGGCCCGAGGCGCCCGATGCCGGGGGGATGCCGCCGGTTTGGTTTTCCTTCTTCGTTGTTCCTTTGGAGGGCAAAGTCTGTCTGCTGCTAGAAGGCCAATATCTGGTGCCAGTGCATCTAGGGTTGTGGAAATCGATGAATGGAGAGGAAGCGTGCTGCCAAATAATTTTCAGATGTCTAAAAGATGTTTCAAATACGTTTCGGATCTGTTGAAAGCATGTTTGAAACATCTATAGAACATGTTTTACACATCCTAAACACGTCTTTAATTCAATGATCGGATTGTTAGGGTGTCCATTGTCGTGGCATCCACAAGTCTATGGACGCATTGGGTGTCGTTGCGTATGCAGACGCGTTCGGGGTGGAGACGCCTACAGACAATGCGGTCGTTGCGTTGGGCGCAGTGCAAAGTTCGGAGAAAGGGGCGATCCATCTACGGGATGTTCCTGGTGTGGAGCAGGTCCCACATGGCACTCCAACAATCACTGCACGAGCATCGGCTTTAGGATGTCTGCGCGGATCTCTCGGGTCGGCGCGGGCCCCCCATTCCCTAGCGCGCGGATCTCTTGAGTCGGCGCCGCGCGCTAGCGGCGGCGCCGGAGACGCCAGCAAGGGTGGTCCAGCGCCGACCCAAGAAATCCGCTCTGACCTCTGGATGTTTGCTGTTCGGAACCTGTATGTGTATCGGTTTGTGTGTACATGTATATGTACATGTACATGTATATGTATATGTATATGTAAATGTATATGTATATGTATCTGTATATGAATATGTATGTGTATATGTATATGTATATGTATATGTATATGTATATGTATACGTATATGTATATGTATATGTATATGTATATGTATATGTATATGTATATGTATATGTATGTATGTATGTCTGCATGTATGTATGTGCTTGTATGTATGTATGTATGTATGTATGTATGTACGTATGTATGTGTGTATGTATGTATGTATGCATGTATGTATGTATGTATGTGTATATATATATATACATATATGTATATATATATATATATTTGTCGATGCGTATGTATATGTATAGCGTTATGCATCTGCATATGCATATGTATCTGTATATGTGCATATTTATGTGCATGTGCATGTACATATACATGTATGTATGTGAGTGTGTGTGTATGTATATATGTATGTATGTATGTATGTATGTATGCATGCATGCATGCATGCATGCATGCATGCATGTGTGTGTGTATGTATGTATGTATGTATGTGTGTGTATGTATGTATGTATGTAGGTAGGTAGGTAGGTAGGTAGGTAGGTAGGTATGTCTGCATGTCTGTATGTCTGTATGTCTGTATGTCTGTATGTCTGTATGTCTGTATGTCTGTATGTCTGTATGTCTGTATGTATGTGTGTATGTATGTATGTATGTATGTATGTAATGTAATGTAATGTAATGTATTGTAATGTAATGTAATGTAATGTAATGTAATGTAATGTAATGTAATGTAATGTATTGTAATTTAATTTAATGTATGTATGTATGTATGTATGTATGTATGTATGTATGTATGTATGTAATGTATGTATGTATGTATGTATGTATGTATGTATGTATGTATGTATGTATGTATGTATGTATGTATGTATGTATGTATGTATGTATGTATGTATGTATGTATGTACGTATGTATGTATAAATACATATATGTATGAAAGAGCGTGTTCTACCGCTGCTGGCGGAAACCCCGGGGGGGGTCACTGGGGGTTCCCAACCCGTCCCCGCCCCCCCCCCCTCGAAAAGCGGGGGGGGGTCACTACCGGTTGGAACCCCCCCCATCGAACACCGGGGGGGGGGTCGCTACCGGCTCGGACCCCCCCCCTTCGCCGCCGGCAAACGATTCCTGCTCCTCGGGACAGTTGGGCAGTGGTGGGGATATTGGGACAGTGGTGGGAACGGTGGTGGTGGGGACAGCGGTGCGGGTACGGTGGGACAGTGGTGCGGACAGTGGTGGGGACGGTGGTGGTTGGTACAGTGGTGTGGGGACAGTGGGACAGGGGTGGGGACAGCGGGACAGTGGTGGGGACGGCAGTGGCGGGGACAGTGGTGAAGGCGGTGGTGAGGACGGTGGTGGGACAGTAGTGGTGGGGACAGTGGAGTGGAGACAGTGGGACAGCGCAGTGGGACAGCGGGGACAGTGGGGCAGTGGTGGGAACAGTGGGGACAGTGGGACAGTGGTGGGGACCGTGGGGAAAGTGGGGAGAGTGGGACCGTGGTGGGACAATGGTGGGGGAGACCGGTTTTCTGGAGGGGGGGTGGGGTGGGGGGGGGTTCGAAGCAGTGGTGACCTCTCTCGGTTTTCGAGTGTGGGGGGGCTTCGAACAGGTAGCGACCCCCGCCCCAGTTTTCCGGGGAAGGGGTGGGGGGAGGGGTTCGAACCAGTAGTGACACCCCCCAGTTTTCCAGAGAGGGGGGGTTCGGGGGGGGTTTTGCCGGGGGGAGGGGGGGGGGGCGGGGGGGGGTGGGTGGGGGATTTTCGGAGGGGGGGGACCCCCGGGTTTCCCAGGAAGAGGGGGGGAATTTTCCATAGTACAGTGGCGGTGGACTACGCTCTCTCATTAGTATATCTATATCTATATATATATATATATATATATATATATATATACATATGTCACTATCTATATTATGCGGTGTGTGCCCAGGCTCATACAACAAGCTGAAGGGGCGTTTGAAGCAGGAGTGACATGCAACAGCGAAGTCGCACTCGAGCGCAAGTGGGGTTGCCACACCTTGCGATGTGTGTACCAGGGCCCCCCAGGAAGCCTCAGGAGGCCCGACTTGGATACCAGAAGAGGCTCCAGGAGGCCCCAGGATTGTGAGTGTGTGTGTGTGTGTGATGTGTGCTTTGTGTGGTGCGTGCTTTTTGTGTGTTGTCGGTGTTGTGTGTGTGTGTGTGTGTGTGTATGTTATGTTTGTCTAGCGTGTGATGTGTTGGGCGTGATTTGTGTCTCTGTGTGTGCATGTAGTTCTGAAGCCCCAGGAGGCCCCAGGAGGCCCCAGGCGGCCTCAGCAGGCCCAGGAGAACTCCAGGAGGCTCCGAGGCGGGGTCTGGGGTACCAGAAGGTCCAGAAAGCCCTAGGAGGCCCCAGGAGGTTCCAGGAGGCCCCCAGGAGGCTCCGAGGAGGGGTCTGGGGCTCGATTTTGGGAGGATGTCTCAGGCGAAACCGCCATTCTCTGAGAATCGGGGTCAAAATTATTGAAATTACAGTGTGTTTTTGAAGGTTTTATGTTAAATGTTGAAATTCCCATGTGTTTTTGGACCCTGACGTCACGATCTGCGTGAGGGGTGCCACCGATTTTCAGAATTTCGAGGATGTCCCGAGCGAAACGGCCAGAAAAATCGCGAACGACGTGCGCATTAATCGCCTCTGAGCTCTACTCCCTCGGAGAGGTGCGTATGATAATGTATGTATATGTCTTTGCATATGCATATGCAGCTGTTTATGTATATGTGTCTGTATATGCATATGCATATGCATATGTATATATATATATATATATATATATGTATATGTATGTGCAACTGTATATGTAGATGTATATGAATATGTATGTGACTACGTCTATGTGCATGTGTATGTATATGTATATTTGGATTGGTATGTTGTTGTATACGTATATTTCTAATCATATGTATTTGTATATGTAGATGTATATATACATGCACATGTATATGTGCATGTATGTGTGTATGCATATGAGTATCTCTATATGTGTGTATATGTACGTGTACATGTATATGTTCGTGTCTATTTATGCGTGTATGTATGTGTATACGTGGGTGGATATGTCTATGGATATTCATAGGTGCGCCTGGTTAGGTACATGTCGATGTATAGGTGGATGCCTGGGTGAACGCATAGGTTTATGTACATCCATATGTATATGGGTATGCATTTGTACGCATATATATATATATATATATATATATGTATGGATGTGCATCTATGTATGTGTATCGGTATGTGTGTATGTAGGTGTATATGTGTATGCATTGTATATGTATATGGTCATGCAACTGTTAGTGCATATGTAGATGTATATGTGTGTACATGTATACGGATAGGCCTATACACTGCATATGTTTAGGTATTGGTGTTCGCATGTGTATAGGTGTTTATATATATGTATATAGATATTTGTGTGCATGTATGCATATGTGTATGCATGTGCATATTTTCATGTATGCATATTTATGCACATGTACATGCATGTGCTTGTAGAAGCACAGGTGTATGTATATGTGGATGTATGACTGCATGCACATGTACCTGTGTGTATGTATGTATGCCTGTATGTATGTATGTATGTATGTATGTATGTATGTATGTATGTATGTATGTATATATATATATATATGTGTGTATATATATATATATATATATTCATATTTATGTATATTCACACATATATATATACAGATACACATGTATCCGCCACCGATGCCTGTGGGGATTTCTTGGGAGGCCATTCGGAAGCCTCTCGGATGAGGTTTTTGGTGTCTCGGGGGCCTCTCTTTCGGGAGCCTCTTTGGGGCCTCTTGGGGCCCGATTTGTTCTTGGGGGCCGGCTGGAGCTCATGGGAGACTCTTGGAGGCCCGCTTGCGGTCTCGAGGGTCATATTGGGGCGGAGGGCTCGATACGTCAGTTCGCGTTTCCCCCCTGGGGCCCCTTTGGGGCCTTCTCGGAACGTCGGCCCTTCTGGGTCGTCTGGGGGTCCAGCTGGGGGCCTTTTGGGCCGTCTTGGGGCGGTCTCGGAGGCCTCTTGGGCGGGAACCCGAAAGGGCGACAACGCCAAAAACCTCCCAACACCAAAGTAACACCACTAAACTTGGCCTCTTGTGGCCTTCTTGGGGGGCCTCTTGGGGCCCTCCCAGGGCGTCTTAGGGGGCTTCTTGGGCCAGCTTGAGCCATCTGGGGCATCTTGGATCGCTCTGGGTCCGACTCGTGTTCCACTTGGACAGTCTCG